GTGGCAGCCAGAATGCGTCATGACCTAACAGTTACCGTGGGAAAAATCATGCCCTCTGTACTGGTTATTTTACAGGTTAACTTGGCTGTTCAACCTACATCATTGAAGATCAGAAAGACTTTATTGTGATCTACAGATGTAACCATCGAACTCAATAGGATTACGGCTTGAGGTGCAACGGTAGGACGACACTCATCTTATTCATCAAAATTTGAGAATTTGCACCAAAAGTTTGCATCTTCTCGGTTACAAAACTCTAGCAATTGTAACTCCATGATATTTACTAGATTTTGGTCACCAAGCCGCATATTCCTTGCCATAAAAATATTTGCAACTCATGGTCCTCATAATGGTTCCAGTTCTCCTGAGCTATCTTCTCCAAATGTTGTGCAACAGGTTAGTCCCTTCTGTTCCAACACCATTCCTCATCACCATCGCACTTTACTCAGTGGGACTGCTAGCTTATTGATGATAATAATTCTCACATTTCATGTACGTCGCAGTCAATCTTCTGAACTGAGTAGAGGTTGAATGGGAATGCATAGACAGTGTCAGATTTCAACCACATCTCGGTATCAATCACAGCTCGAGACTAGGAACCCGTTTTTTTTTTTAAATCTAATCACATCTTTCTTTAGGCTGTATGCATTCTTTTGTCACATCATTTCGACACCAGTGGTCTGTCTCGGATTGTTGATAGGCAGTTTGCTGTGGTGTCTGTGCGGTTTTTCTCTAATTAATTTATTTTTCTAAATGTGATTAGGAGATCGGTTCGGTGTCCGTTGACATAACCATTCTCTCGGCTCTCGTAGCTGAAGATTCTTTGATAGACACTGTTAGTTAATCCGATCAGAAGGGGAAAAATGGTGAGAACTCATTAAATGTGTACGTCAAACTTGATAGATCCAATAGCGTCCGATGAAACTGAATCCTGTTCTCACAAAATGAGTGACTGTTTTGAACCACTGCCAGGATGCGGTTTATCAAATACATTGATCAACTCAACAACTGTTCATTTTTACCATAACTGAAAGTTCCGGTAAGCCTGTTTGATGAAATGCGTCACACGTATTCCCGCAAATGCATTCAGTGGAATTCGAGCGTCGTTTTATCGCCCACAATCATGGATCTAATAGTATCATTTCTGGTCCCCCTTATTCTTCACTACTGGTACCATGCTCTTCAAATATATCTGTTAAATTCTAACTGCAGAAGTTCATGATTTTGAACCATTTTTGATTCCTTAGTGTACCGTATGAACACTTGCACCAGAATTGTGGATTATGTAATAGATCTCGTGATGAAGAATCAATTCCATTGATTTTGCCTACTCAATGTCATTTATTGAATGCTTGACCTCGGATACAAACCAGAATGAGATTTGTTGCCTTTGAAGCCGGTTCGATATTGTGGATTTTGTTGTCTCATTATGTGACCCTCTAACTAAATTTTCTTCGATCGATCGATTTCACAATTGCTCAACCTAGGTCTATTCTCTCCATTCATTACGTTGTATTTGAGGCGTAGCCGATTCTCGGCTATGATTCTATGATTTACATACCAAACCGCGGATAATGAATGCACCGGATGCTAGCTAGACCGAATTTGTGAACTCGGCAAATCTTGCATTTGAATTGACGCCCATATATTTAGTGATCACAATTTTTGCAACGGAATAGTCATTTCTTTGAATAATCGCAGAGTGACCTTCCAAATGCTTGACATTTATTAAGCTTTCACTTTCGTTGTCAAATGAGATTCTTCTCGCCACAAGCGTCCCGCATACTGACTTGAGTTGAATACTGAATTACATCACTTTGAGAATGCTTTCTACTTCCCCCAATGGATCAGGAAAGAATAGATTCCCAGATATGAGAGTTACTTTCCAATACAATATTCGTACTTTACCTGTGTGCGATCCACACCATGCTTCACACTGATATTGTTCCATTTGTGACTAGGTTTCGACCAGATGCAATCCGCACATCCAATCAACGGATTGTCTGGACCTTGCCATCTTCCTCCGAATGGGGATTTGTTCTGTAATAACAAAAGTCATCTACCGGACCCGTTAAATCCGATTAGTCCGTCCATCAGTCAACCGGGTGTGCATGTTTCCGGTGTATGTCCAAACGGTACATCCACACCCGGAGTTCTACTGGATCAGTTGCACCAGTTCAGTCGTGAGGTTGTGGATCTATTGAAACATCAACCGGGCTGTCAGATTCTGTTAAGCAAATTCATTCCCAGTTACCATCATCATTTTGGTAAACAGTGTCGCGTGGCTGACTACGGCTATTCGAAACTACACGAACTGATCGATGCATTGCCCAGTGTGGTGCATGTCATGGGGTCCGGTCATGTGCGTCTGCTCACTCTGTCACACCGGGTCCAGGTTAGACGATTCACAAACGAACTGATCAAAGTGCTCAAATCGCAGTCCACCAAATCGTGTCGTCTGACTGACTATGCGGCCATTTATCGACGTATCTATCGCAAGGTGAGCGTTTGTTGTACATAAAACTGAACCGAGATTGGTGCTGCACATCAGTTGGGCATTCTTTTTTATTTGAATTGAATAGTAGACTATACTATAAAAAGATAACCTCCTACTCAACTTCTGGCTGCTCCCCGAAAAATTCACATGGCAAATTGAGCTGGGAGTGGTGATTCAGTGACAAACATGCTGCATGATGTTGGGCTGAAAGAGAGGGATTTGTCTACCACCTATGTATTAATGGTGTCAGTATTCGAACCATCTGCATTACAGCGTGTCTCCTGCTTTTTTATTTTTCCCTCATGGTGTTTTTTATTTTTAGTTTCAATTTTGACAACCATTAACCATGAATTTTTCATGCACCGGTTTCGGTTGCTGTCTTTCAGCGGCTTATTTGCATAACACAGCGGAATGAACATTGGAATGTTGAGAGCAGATTTAAGGGGAGGATAAACGATTCAAATAGACTGGGGGTCGCAATAATCATGTGTAGATACACGAGCGCTACTGTTCACAACACCCAGCCCTGTCACTCAGGTCTCTAAGCAC